ATGCTTGAATAATTTATTAAACTATTTAAATTAATTTATTTCTTTTTTGATGATTTTTGATACATAATTTAATATATTCTTTTTAATTTAGAGAATGTGTTTAAAATAATTTTATTACTTACATTGTAAACTATTATAATAAATAATAAATAATTCAAATATTGTTTTATATTATAAATAATATCAAAATTATATTGTAAGCAATTGACCAATTATATTTAATAAAAAACATTAATGATGATAATTAATTATTATAATATAAAAATTAATTTATATTAATATTAAAATTGCAATTTACACTTGTATAAAAATTATTCATGTACCTAAAAATCTATTATTGTCAATAATTATAAATAAATTTAAAAAATATTTAAAGTTAAAATAAAATCAAAATATATTATATATTAATGTTTATAAATTTATATATGCACAAAGACATAACTAGAAGAGCTATTTAGAGAGATTACAAAAATTTTAGACTTGAGTAATCATAGATCTTCAACAAATCAAATCTTCAATCAATTTTTTTTCAAAATATCTGTTTCAAATTTATATTTGTTTTTTGTGTCTAATTTTCTATATTCGTTAAGTAGTTTTATAAAAACTTTTTAATTTGATTTCATTGTAAATCTGTTGTTATTATTAAAATTGTCAAATAGAAAAAACAAGAACTCAAATAATTTAGGTGGAGAAGAAAAGAAGAGCGGTGGCGGCAATAAATTTAAAATATTGAATAAATTCCCTCCTAGTTATGATTATATACATAAATATCAATATTTCTAATATTCATTGTATATAATATTTATAATAATCTCATTAATTAATTTGTACACCGGAGCACCCCAAAGTTGTTAATTTAACAGTAAATCCGTCTGCAATTAATTTTCGCGAAATACTTGAAATAGTTTCTGGTTGTGTATCTGGTAATAAGAGAATATATGCATGTCCACCACCACCGGCACCTGTAAGCTTTGCTGCTAAACCATAATTTTGTGCTTCTGCACAAATTCTATCCAAAGATGGATGAGAAATTTGACATGTGGCTAACAATCCTTGATTCATGTTAATAAGTATCTATAATAATATATAATAAGTAATAAAAAAATTTTAATGTATATCAAAATATTAAATTTTTTTATCAATCAATAACATTTTAATATATTTCTAAATTTTAATTCATATAAATGTTATTTTTTTAAATAATGAATTAATTTTTCTATTTTAATTTATTAATAATATATCAAAATTTAATAAAATACTAACCATTAATTGTTTGTATCCTTCCAAAAAGAACTCATTGGTATTTGAGAAAGTTTTCAATTTTTGAATAATTTTAACTGCTTCTTTTGATATATTATCTATTGAATCCATAATCAGATCAATAATAACTGGATATGTATGTTTTAATTCTAATATTTTTTCAAGTAAAGCTTTAGTACTTCTATTTACTCTTGTATCTACTAGTAAAATTTTCATTGCCTGTATATTATTTATTGGTTGTATATAATTACCCTTTTTAAATTCTATTATTGATCCATATGTACAGATACAATTATCTATTCCAGATGGATTACCATGCATAATTCTTTCACAATTTAAAGCATATTTTGAAATAATATCTAAAGTAGAAAAATCAAATACTTTGTAAATATTTTTTTGTAAATGTGACCAATGTACAAAACATGCAGCAAGACAAACTGCAAAAGAAGCAGAACTACCAAGTCCAGAATTAATTGCCAATTCTGTATTTAATTGAATTTGAAATGGTTTTATTTCCATTTCCTCTTTTTGTGCAATATAAATAAGAGTATAGAAGAATGCTTCTAAACTTAATTTTTGTTGAAAATTTGCATAACTAACAATACAGACAAATTCCTTTATTTTATTATAAAATATCTCATAATTTTCTATAAATTCCACATTTTTATTAATAAAAAAGAAATTTTGTATTTGTTGCAGAGGTATAGTAATAAATAAATTTACTTTAGAGAAACATATTTTAACAACTTGTTCTGCTTCAGGTAATTCTGTAAAATTTAGAACTGTACGTAAATCTATACTAGCTGCAACAGCTGTTTTTCCATATACTACAGCATGTTCTCCAAAAAGAATAACTTTTCCTGGTGCAGATACTTTAAATTGAATCATTTTAAATCTTTTGTATTTTATTTATAAAACTTAGAAATGAAACAATTTATTTTAAGAATGAATTATAACTAAATTGATTATTAGCGAAAGATAGCGAAAGATCTTTTTTATCATTTCCTATTTTTTCCACTCTGCTGGTGTTAATGTTTTTTGTGAAAATGCATGAATTGTTTTAAGTTCTTTTTCTAATATTGAATTTACCAATCTGAAAAATTAATTACAATATATATATAAATATATTTAATGTTAGAAGAGTAATATTAATAAATTTTTTACAATTTTAAAAAGGTAATACCTATGTCGTTGAAGTAAAGATTTGCCTTCAAAAACGGTAGAAACAATTGTTACAGAAAACTTAGCACCACAACCATCAGATTCATCTATAACTTCCTGTAACATTTAATGATAATATAAAAATTAATTAATATAATATAGAATAAAATATTAAAATAAAACGATTTTTATTTTTCTAATATTATTGAAAGCTTCCTTATCTTTTATGAAATTTATATTAAATGATATAAATATTGTTTTGTTTATAATAATAAAGTATAAAAATATAAAATATAAAAATCACAATTTATAAAAATATTAATAATTCATATAAATGGATATATTATATAAATATTTTTAAAACTGACTTTTAATTGAACGAAAATATTCTAAACTAAATCGATTCTTCACGATAATTTTACATAATATAAGCGATAATATTTTACATGTATTAACCGCAAACGCTTAAATTTGTATGTCCAATATTATTATATTAATTTAATAAATTATTTAATAATAGGGAAAACTTCAAATTTTTATAAAACATTATATAATTTATTTAAAAAATACATTTATCTATATATTTATTAATAAAGATAATTCATAAAAAAATATAATTATCTAATGTTTTATTCCAACAATCATAATGCATATAAATAATATTATATATTTATAATTATACATAAATATTATTATGTACAATTTATATTTATAACATGTTCCTTACTTGTAATATATTGTAATTTTTTTAATTATATTAAAAATATTTAGAAATAAGATAAATTTTAATAATTTATCAAAATTTTCGATATTAAGGAAAATAGTAATAATATAACATAAATTATATTGTCTTTTTGGTTTATTTTAAATTTATATTTGTTTTATATACAAATTGTTTATAATTAAAATACAAGTAGAAAATAATAAAATGTCCACAGGAATACATAGATATTAATAATGCAAAGAGATCTGGATATCTATTTGGAGGTTTTAAAAAACCACTAATAAGAGAAAGTATTATTATTCCTAGAATTGAGCAATAAAATAAAATTGTTTTCGAGAAAAACGAATAACCTAATAAAATAAAATTATTTTTATAATTTACAATATCTTTTTTTAGTTTTATAAAAATTGATTTATTCTTAATATTTTTTAAGTTTGCTTTAATTCGTTTTTGATTGGTTGCAATATATACATTTTTTTTTGAATTAGCATTATTTAGTAATTCATTATTATCAAATAAATTAGGATGAGTCCAAAAAACAAAAGAGAAATAAAAAATTAATGTAACGCAATATGCCATATATAAATCATCTTTTATAAACAAAGGTAGCATGCTAAAATGTGAAATTATTAAGAACCAGAAACAAGGAAATGGATTGCTTTCAAAATATAATAAAACTGGAATTGCAACAAGCAAAATTGATTTTTCATGAACTTGAAATGAAAATAAAAAAAATGCTAATGCACAATTAATAAGAGAAATAATAAATCTTTCCTTCTGTGGATTTAAGAATAGATTTATACAACTTGGTAAAACTGAAAATGTAGTTAGTATTAAACAAATTTTAGCTAATTCTTTATTTGTAAAGGTATTACGTAATTTATAAATCACATTAATTGTACACCAAATATTTGCAACTTTATCTTCAAATATGCCTCTAGAAACTGGAAATAATCGAAAAACAACATTTATAAATGTTTCCCAATCTTTAATAAAAGGTAACCATATGATAAAAAATGTAAAAACTACTGTAATTGCTATACATAATAACATTATTAAATTAAATAACCAAAATTGTTTTTTTATAGGTGAATATTTTCCAAGTATATAACAAAAAATTGATAATGCATGATAAAGTTCCATTTGTTTATAATTTAATGCTGTAAC